GCACCGCCCGACTCTTCCTGCGGGCCCTGGAAGGTGCGTCCCGAGCCCGCCCGCCGGGATCGGCCCGGGATTCCCCGCCCCGAGCGGGGCACGGGATGGAGATTCCAGGCGGGGGATTCCAGGGGGATTCCGGGAGGATGGGATGGGGCGGATTCCATGGGGTGGATTCCGGGAGGATGGGATGGGGTGGATTCCATGGGGTGGATTCCATGGGGTGGATTCCATGGGGTGGATTCCAGGGGGATGGGATGGGGCTGATTCCATGGGGTGGATTCCAGGGGGATTCCGGGAGGATGGGATGGGGCTGATTCCATGGGGTGGATTCCAGGAGGATGGGATGGGGTGGATTCCATGGGGTGGATTCCGTGGGGTGGATTCCAGGGGGATTCCGGGAGGATGGGATGGGGCTGATTCCATGGGGTGGATTCCAGGGGGATTTCAGGAGGATGGGATGGGGCTGATTCCATGGGGTGGATTCCAGGAGGATGGGACGGGCTGGATTCCATGGGATGGATTCCAGGGGGATTCCAGGAGGATGGCATGGGGTGGATTCCAGGGGGATTCCAGGAGGATGGGATGGGATCGGATGGATTCCAGGGGGATTCTGGAGGATGGGATGGAGTGGATTCCATGGGGTGGATTCCAGGAGGACAGGACGGAGTGGATTCCATGGGGTGGATTCCAGGAGGATGGGATGGGGTGGAGATTCCATGGGATGGATTCCCGGGGGATTCTGGGAGGATGGGATGGGATGGATTCCATGGGGTGGATTCCAGGGGGTGGATTCCAGGGGGATTCCAGGAGGATGGGATGGGGCTGATTCCATGGGGTGGATTCCAGGGGGATTCTGGAGGATGGGATGGGGTGGATTCCATGGGGTGGATTCCAGGGGGATTCCGGGAGGATGGGATGGGGCTGATTCCATGGGGTGGATTCCAGGAGGATGGGACGGGGTGGAGATTCCATGGGATGGATTCCCGGGGGATTCTGGGAGGATGGGATGGGGCAGATTCCATGGGGTGGATTCCAGGGGGTTTCCAGGAGGATGGGATGGGATGGATTCCATGGGGTGGATTCCAGGGGGATTCCGGGAGATTTCCTCACCCGGAGGATGGGATGGGTCAGAATCCAGAAGGATTTTGGGAGGATTCCTCACCGGGAGAATGGCACTGGGAGGATTCCAGGGGCATTTCCAGAGGATTCCTGATCCAGACGATGGAATGGGGCAGATTCCAGAGGGATTTGGGGAGGATGGGCTGGGGCGGATTCCAGTGGGAATTCTGTGAGGATTCCTCGCCTGGAGGATGGGATTGGGTGGATTCCAGAGGGATTTCGGGAGCAGCTGGCAGGGATGGAGCTGTGCCAGGCTGGCGCGTGCCAAGGCGGGAAGAGACTCCGGGAAAAGCCGTTGGGAAGAGCCGCAGGGAAGGGCTGGCAGATGCTGCAGGCCTGGAAATGCTGGAAACGTGCTGGAAGCGAACAGATGGGCCCGGATCCCTGGAGAGTGGAAATCCTTGGATGGGGGATGAGGGAAGAGCAGGGAAGAGCAGGGAAGAGGGAATGGCAGGGATCAGGGAATTTCAGGGATGAGAGAATTTCAGGGATCAGGGAATTTCAGGGGTCACGGAATTTCAGGGATGAGGGAATTTAATTTCAGGGATGAGGGAAGAGCAGGGATGAGGGAATTTTAGGGATCAGGGAATTTTAGGGATGAGGGAATAGCGGGGATCAGGGAATTTCAGGGATGAGGGAATTCCAGGGATGCGGGAATTCCAGGGATCAGGGAATTCCAGGGATCAGGGAATTTCAGGGATGAGGGAATTTTAGGGATGAAGGAATAGGCATGAGGGGATAGCAAGGATCAGGGAATTTCAGGGATGAGAGAATTTCAGGGATAAAGGAATAGCAGGGATGAGGGAATTTCAGGGATCAAGGAATTTCAGGGATCTGGTAATTCCAGGAATAAAGGAATAGCAGGGATGCTCCTCCCTTCCTTGGGATCCCAAACCTCTCTCATCCCATTTTCTCCCTCCACCCTCTTTCCCACAGATCCCCTTTCCTAAGACCCCCATCCCAACTCATTCCAGGGATTTTTCCGGATTTCCCTTCCCCTTTTCCCTCCCTGTGTCCCATCCATCCCCTCCTTGGGAGCTGAAAGAGGGAGCGACACAAGGAGGGAAACTGAGGCACGGTGCCAATCTCTCATCCCCGAGGTGCAATTCCTGGCAAAACCCCGCTCCCGGTGTCATTCCCGACCCGAAATCCGGGAATTTTTTCCCGTTTTCCCGCAGTGTGCTACATCTTCTCGCTGGCGCTGTGCTGTCTGCTGACCTGCGCCATGCTGCTCCGGAGCCTGGCCATGCACAGGTGGGACATTCCCAGTCCCGAGATTCCCATTCCCGATGTCCCCATTCCCGATATCCCCGGCCCCGTTCCCAGGGTCCCCAGCCTCATTCCTGATATCCCCATTCCCAATGTTCCCATTCCCAATATTCCCATTCCAAATATCTCTGGCCCCATTCCGATGTTCCCATTCCCAATATCCCTGGCCCCATCCCCAATGTTCACATCCCCATTCCCAATGTTCCCATTCCCAATACCCCTGGCCCCATTCCCAATGTTCCCATTCCCAATATTCCCATTCCCAATATCCCCGGCCCCATTCCCAATATCCGCATCCCCATTCCTGATGGTCCCATTCCCAATATCCCCGGCCCCATTCCCAGTGTCCCCAGCCTCATTCCAAAATTCCCATTCCCAATATCCCCGGCCCCATTCCCAATATCCCCATCCCCATTCCTGATGGCCACATTCCCAATGTCCCTGGCCGCATTCCCAATGTTCCCATCCCCATTCCCAATGTTCCCATTCCCAATATCCCTGGCCCCATTCCCAATGTTCCCAGCTCCATTCCCACTGTTCTCATTCCCAATATCCCCAGCCCCATTCCCGATATCCCTGACCCCATTCCCAATATCCCCAGTCCCGTTCCTGATACCCCCATCCCCATTCCCAAAGTCCCCATCCCCATTCCCAAAATTCCCAGCCCCATTCCTGATGCTCCCATCCCCATTCCCAGTGTCCTTGGCTTCATTCCTGATGTTTCCATTCCCATTTCCGGTATTCCCATTCCCGATGTCCCCATCCCCATTCCCAGTGTTTCCATTCCCAATGTCCTTGGATTCTTTCCCAATGTTTCCATCCCCATTCCCAGTGTTCCCATTCCCAATGTCCCCATCCCCATTCCTGGTGTTCCCCATCCCCTTTCCCAATATTCCCATCCCCATTTCCAATGTCCCCATGCCCATTCCTGATGTTTCCATTCCCAATGTCCCGGCCCCATTCCCAATGTTCTGAGCCCCATTCCTGATGCTCCCATCCCCATTCCCAATATCCTTGGCTTCATTCCCAATGTTTCCATTCCCATTCCCAATGTCCCCATCCCCGATGTCCCCAGTCCCATTCCAAATATTCCCATCCCCATTCCCAATGTCCCCAGCCTCATTCCCAATGTTCCCAATGTCCTCAACGCATTCCTGGTGTTCCCATCCCCATTCCCGATATCCCATCCCCATTCCTGATATCCTCATCCCCATTCCCAATATTCCCATCCCCATTCCCAATGTTCCCATTTCAAATGTTCCCATTCCCAATGTCCCCACCACATTCCCAGTGTTCCCAAACTCATTCCCAATGTTCCTATTCCCGATATCCCTGTCCCCATTCCCAATATCCCCATCCGCGATCCCGATATTCCCAGCTCCATCCCCAATGTCCCCATCCTCATTCCCAGTGTCCCCATCCCCATTCCCAATGTCCCCATCCCCATTCCCAATGTCCCCATCCCCATTCCCAATATCCCCGTCCCCATTCCCGATGTCCCCATCCCCATTCCCGATGTCCCCATCCTCATTCCCAGTGTCCCCATCCCCATTCCCAATATCCCCATCCGCGATCCCGATATTCCCAGCTCCATCCCCAATGTCCCCATCCTCATTCCCAGTGTCCCCATCCCCATTCCCGATGTCCCCATCCCCATTCCCAATATTCCCATCTCCATTCCCGATGTCCCCATTCCCATTCCCGATGTCCCCATTCCCATATCCGATGTCCCCATCCCCATTCCCAATATCCCCATCCCCATTCCCGATGTCCCCATCCCCATTCCCGATGTTCCCATCCCCATTCCCGATATCCCCATCCCCATTCCCGATGTCCCCATTCCCATTCCCAATGTCCCCATTCCCGATGTCCCCATCCCCATTCCCGATGTCCCCATCCCCATTCCCGATGTCCCTATTCCCATTCCCAATGTCCCCATTCCCGATGTTCCCATCCCCATTCCCGATGTCCCCATCCCCATTCCCAATATCCCCATCCCCATTGTCCCCATCCCCATTCCCCATGTTCCCATCCCCATTCCCGATGTCCCCGCCCCCATTCCCGATGTCCCTATTCCCATTCCCAATGTCCCCATTCCCGATGTTCCCATCCCCATTCCCGATGTCCCCATTCCCGATGTTCCCGCCCCCATTCCGGGCCGGGATCAATCCGGGACATTTTCCATTTTCCCACGCAGGTCCAACCTGCGGGCGCTCTACCAGGGCGCCGTGCTGGATGTCTTCTCCAAGGCCCACATCCTGCGGCCTTCCCGGGAATCCCTGGTCTGCTGGATGGCCTTCTCCAGCTTCCAGGCGGCCTTCGCCTGCCTGGGTACCGGGATTTTGGGATCACGGCATGGGAATCCAAATTT